TGCGAGACGTTTCAATTGAAGCCTACTCTGCAGACATTTCCAGCGTCGGAGAGCAGAGTTTGCTGCTTACTATAAAATCCGCTGTCTCCACCGCCGCAGCCACCTCCAACGGTTTAGTTTACGTTTAGTAGTTTATGATAAATTCTAAGCGTCACGGGCAGCAGAGGACAGGACACATACATACATCCTGTGACAGATCCTCCGGCCACAGAAGTGTCTGGCCCCGCTGAGCGCATATCCAACATTTCCGGCATTTGACCAGCGCTCATCCTACCTACCTACCTTCCCATCATCCCCCACCTCAACAACGCCCATGTAGTTTATACCGAGAGAGCATTATATAGGGAAGATCCAAGACAATGCCTACCGTACCAAACCCCAAAAACTATTCAGAAGCAGCACTGCTCGCCCTATAATTATAGCGCTTTCGCTATTATTTTTTTCTGGTAGCGATGTCAGAAGTTCTGGTCCGGTGACTGCGCCGCCCCGATTAATTTAAGACCCCCAGGCTGGACTAAGTAAATAGCGATAATAAAATAGTTTACATAATTGCACAATTGATTGCCATCTATCCAGTCAGCGGTATTATGTTTGCGGGGTGGCAAGGAGAGAGTTACTGTTCAATTGTTATCCAATTCTAATTCCAGCGTACGCTCGACCCTTTCAGATCTATTTGCACACACATGCACACACACATATCAAGTACAAATTCATTTCGAATCCATGCACACGTTTTATTGTGCAAACTCAATTCCGAATCTTTATTCGGCAATCAAATTAACTCTCCCGCGTTTCCTGCTTGGTTTATGTTTTACGTATGGTTACAAACATAAACGATAATTTATATATTCGAATAAAGGTTTTACCTGTTTCATCACATATTTTTTAAAGCTGCACCGCAGTTAATGCTACCTCTGATAACGAAGCTTTGATATAACGTAAGCCGCAATTTTCAAATTTTATGTCAATGCAAAATATTGAAGAAATTGTACTAAAAGATAAAAATAATATCAAATAAATTAGAAATGGTGTTATCCAGATGATTAGATATTAGAAATTTATTGTAGAAAATGATGTTTTTTTAGTGTAAGATTTGAAAAACCTTATTTGCAACGAATTCAACGAAAATTGAAACGAAATTAAATTAAAATGATCTTGATTTAGGAATAAATATTTTTGTTAAGTGATCAGTGTTAAATGGAATAACAAATTTAATTTTGTTGAATCCTTATATAATAAACCTTTTTCTTGCTAGAAGACTTTAGCACTTATTATAAAAGTTTAAATCTATTAAAAGTTTTGTTTTTAAAATCTATAGTAAATGCGCTTACTTTGTATCTCTAGAATATACGTATAATAGTATGTATTGAGAACTTACAACAATAACTAAATATAACAACATTTATGTATTTTAGTTGCTGTATATGGAAGCAAATATTGTAACTATGAAACAATAACACATTAAAATTGAATATTGCAGTGTCTAGTAGTTAATAGTTATGAATTACACTTGTGTCTCATGTCACGAATAGAGTGGATTCAGGACGATCTTCAATAAATGTTTTTTTAGGTAAATTCAATAGTAAGAAATAACAAGATTATTTTAAAATAGTTAAAAATAATATGAAAAACATTTTGCAGTAATTTAATATTTTGTACTACTTTATTGTCAATTATTATTTGAAAAAAATGCTTGGGCCAAGAATCAGCTAATATTTTTAAAATTTTATTTAAATTATACAAAAAATCCTCATTTTATTTAATGTATTCTATAGGGTGTCCCAAAATTAACAAAAGATTTGAATTTGCTGCCATTTGTGCAGTAAAGTGTTGGCAACCCCAAAAAAATAAACAATTTGGCAGCTGAGATTTGATTTTTCAAGCAAAATCATCCTAAGCGATGAAGCACATTTTCACCTTGATGGCTTCGTTAATCGCCAAAATTGCCTCATTTGGGGTCCGGAGAACCCACATGTGATTGTCGAAAAACTAATGCATCCACAGCGTGTCACTGTTTGGTGCGGATTTTGGGCTGGAACCATCATTGGACCATACTTTTTTGAAAATAAGGATGGACAAGCAGTGACTGTTACTGACATGATCGCGACATGATAACACATTTTTTTCTGCCCCAGTTGGATGATATTGATATAGACGACATGTGGTTTCAATAAGATGATGCCACGTGCCATACAGCCCGTGAAAAAAAATCAATTACTGCATGAGACATTTCCTAGTCGTGTACTCTCTCGTTTCGGTGATCAGAATTGGCCCCCTAGATCTTGTAATTTAACACCATTAGATTTATTTTTATGGGGTTATTTGAACTCAAAGGTCTATGTCAACAAGCCCACAACCACCCGTGTATTACAAGAAGAAATTAAACAGCAAAGATGTGGAGGCCATTTGCCCTATGTATTATTTTATTCCAACCCTAATACAAAGGTTAGGGTATAGGTTTTATGATTCAATAAAAAAATCACAACTTGAAGACTAAAAACTCAGTTTTCTATTTAATTCAAATCTATCTTTAATTTTGGGACACCCTTTATATATATATTAAATACCAGTATTTTGTTACAAAAAAAATTATCGTAAAAAAATCAGTTACCTAAAAAAAATGAGTTTATATATAGTAACAAACAAGGAATTATATAATTATTCACAATAATATACACATAAAGAGATATTAATAATATCAAAAGACGATATATCTTTCCGCTCAATTATTATGTTAAAAAAAATAAATTGTTCACTTTATGTGTTTAAATTCTTATAATTGTAATTGCGATATAAATAAACAAGCTTGTAAGGATTTATAAAGAGAAAACGTATAAAAGAGTTTACCATGTGAAATTATTGTAAATTATTTTTGTAACATTCTATAATTGCTGAATTCCTGTCATTATTCCGTACGTCTCCTATATTGGTACGAGCGGAAGGTGTGCAATGCGAATTTGCATAAAGCAATAAAAATATTTCTCAGAGTTGAAACAAATATATGAACAAATATCTTGTAAACAAAATTGAACGTAACACATTTGAAAAAGTTTCCCGCAAAATTATGTAAGTAATTTTCATAACGAAAATTTTCCTCAGTTTGAAACTAAATAATATTTTTAGTCCAATAAATATATGGACCAAAAGGCTATTAAGCTCGATTTTATAAGTCACATTTTTTTATAATTTATATTTATAGTTTTAATTTTCAAAAGAACAGGGGATTTTTTTTTAATATTCTTTATATAGAATACTGTTTATTATTTTAAAAAGGTTAAATTTAAAATTACTTTTATTTGGTTATAGAGAAAGATAGCATACTTTTAATAATATAAAATCAATAAAATACAAACTTAATATAATAAGATAAAAAAAAACAAATTGAATTATTGCAAAAAGCTTGTAAAATTATTTTCTATTTGTTAACTTTGTTCTATAACAAAATATATTTCTCAAAAATAAAAATCTTACAAATTATTGTAACAAAAACATTTTATTGATAATCTATCATAATTCCGTTATTTAAATTGCAAACCTCGAATAGTCAGGATAATCGGTTCCATCAATATCCCGGACTGTTTGAAACCGAACTAATCGAGTACCAAATAGATATAAAAATGATAAAAATAAACCGTACATTTTTTTTTGTTAGAATTTATTTTTACTTTGCTCATTTTAGTATATTTTCAATCTGGATTGATCAAAGCCAGACTATATTAGGTATTGCTATATATGTTAAAATTGTATATAGGTATTAAATACTATCTGAATGAATATATCATTGTTGTATTTTTCTCAATAAATATTGTTAATTATTATAAATCAATTGCAATTAGAAATTAATTCCTATATATTTTTTACTTTTCTCATGTTCGCTTTCTTTTCTTCCATAGATTATTTATAAAATGCAACACTCTAACATTTAATGCTTTTTTTGTTTTGCTATATTTAACTCTTTGAATGGCATTTTTACAATTACCATTTAATTTGGTTGGTACATAAAGGGATTAATCTTGATAGGCCATCCAATGTTGATTCAGTTGTCTGATTTAATTATCTAAAAATTTGTTGGGTCTAGACATTTAGGAATGTTTGGTCCCTCAAGGAGATAATAGAAGGAATATTGTAAAGTCAAGAATTTCATTTTTATAATAAATTAATAAATAAATTATTTTTATGTATTCATATTCTAATTTTTATTTGTAATATGATTTTTTTGTTCAAAATAACAAATCAGGGATCAGTTAACGTATATAATACATACTAAGCTAAGACTAATCCGACTCATTTAATTGTACGTTCGTACGAATATGTGTATGTTAATTCGAGGTGACAGGCGTAAATAAGCATGTACGTGTTATCGAATGCACATTAAAAATTTATACGTTAACTAGGTGCTGACTCTACTATAAATATTGTAAAATTTACACTTTATACTAGAATATGAATAACATCTTTTTCAATTTAAATTGATTGATGTTTACGCTTCTAACCGAAACACGAATGTCTCCATGGCAGCAGCCGCATATCCACGTCTTCGCCGATACATATTCGCCGTAATATAATCGTTTCGCCAAGCGAATTGTTATGCAATTCGTTGCCATTTCATTCAAATATTATTTCCGCTGAAATCTCTACGCGAAACCCACCGCCCACCATTATTCCGCGATATGTAATGGTTACCATAGCTACAGATTACAATTATTATTACATTATTTAACGATTTGATTAATTAACGGGAATCGATGGAAACGCATTGTCATAGATATTGGATGCGCATAAATCTCATTGACACAACCGAACTTTGCAGCGAACACGCTTCAAACACATCGACTAAAAAAAAACCTTTTCGCACGACGAAATTACCGGATCCCTGGTTACGCACGCTGCTTTCGTAACATTAATTACGCAATGATTATTCGGAGCGCCGTTTTCATCTGTGTAACGAGATCTCTTGCATATTCATTTCCACTAAAATTTGTGTTCGTATGGAAACTTACTTCTTTCTGGAACCTTCCAAGGCCTAGACTGTACTTTTTCTTTTTGACGACTCCTGCGTACGGATGAGGATCTTGGGTTTGGATAGCGTTGGGTTCCCGATTTGATGGGAATAGGACTGGACCGGTGTTCGGTGCGGCTACATCTATCCTGTTGTACTGGAACGCATTAATCTCGTAAGGATGAGGGTTAAAGTTTCTAGGCGGAAGGAAGATCTCAGGCTGCGCCTCCTCCAATCCCGAAACTACCGACAACGCGAAGAAGAAAACCAGTCCAAATGCCACCTGAAAAAACTTTTTTTTTAATTTCAAAAATTTTTTATGGTACAATAATTACTAAACGGAATTTCCCTTTCGAAAATCCTTTCCTTAATTACACGTGTCTGCGAAGCCGTGTAATTTCTATATTAGTGCGTGTCGGATCATTAAAATTCGAACACATATCTTTCCGCTCCATTTCCTCTCGACTAAATGCAAATACGCCAGTTCAATCTACTGTGATCAGAATGATCACAGGCGCACTCAGATTCTACAATATTTTTTCAATTGCAATTAATTTCAGGAAGTAATGCAACCAAAAATAATTAATTAAATGTAGCCTCGAAGCCGAAATTTCTCGCAGCAGTGAAAATTTATTAATTACAAAATAAAGGAAGTTAACATAATTAGGTGCAATATTGATACTTTATAACAGCTTTTCAAAAAAAACAAGGTGAAAAATGAAAGTTTTTAATTCATATTTACTCAAGTATTTCATCACAACCATCAAACGTTTATTCACAAAATGTTAGTTCTAAAGTGTTTAAATTAATTAGTTATTTCTTCGTTCGTAGAAAATTAAAAATAAATGGTTTTAACGGGGCCGAATTCAGATTATCGTATTTTGTTTATAATTTTTCATGAATCATTGGCCAAGTAGAGAATTCTAAAAATATTTTGTGGGTTCCCAAAAGTCTAGTGGACCCTAGGGGTGCCTATTCCAAATCTTTTAATGAGCATATATAAAAAAATAAAACGAAGAACTTATTCAAAATATTTTATTACATTATAGTTAGTGATACACTTGTTTTTCAATACCAAAATTCAAAATATCGAAAGCTGAAAACTACAATTAGGCTACGGGTTTGGCCATGAGTACCCTAGATACTGTGCATATAAGACTTAGTGTTTACACTAAGAATAAGCCGATTAAATTGCAACGAATCAATGTTAGAAGTTGTGTTTCAAGAGTGGAATTGCATTAAATCCATCCGAGTAAATCCAATCAATACGTTTATGATAATGTTTACAGGCTAATGATGCGCACATTAACGTTTTATAATGTAAACAAATTTAATGCGCGATCTGATCCATCCCATAAAATAAATCTCGTCGTTAAAAACTGGTTACGCATCATTAAGAAGCACGCGACTCACATTTAATTCCATCTAAATCACATAATGCCTAATTAATTCTGGAATTAAACTACTCGGATGAATGTGTCTTCCTCATTTCTAATACAATTATTTTAAAGAATTTACAACAATTAATTTGATAATTAACAATTTGTCAATAAAATAACAACGATTATTTATAAATAAATATTTGAAAGCAAGCTATATTATTTTTAACATGTTTATTTATTAACAATAAATAGGATTAATACTTGTCTTATATTTTATGATAAAATATAAACAATATATAAAAAATGGACTATGATACAAAAAGTGACTTATAATAATTATAAACAATAATAAAAAAAAAAATTGTGCACGAAATTTTCAGAAAACTGGACAAACGTTATATAAAATTATAATTTAAGAACTATTTCTGAAACAATAACTTTCTCATTTATTATGCCAGTACAGAACTAATTTAAATCATAAATTGAAAAAAAAATCTGTAATATTTCATAGAGTAAATAAAAAAATATTTTCTTAAGAACTTTAAACTTGCACTTTATTAATATTTTAATTATATGCAATACCTCGCATTGTGCGGTAATCGATTTCGGTTTCATGCAGTGCGGGATCTGTATGAAACCGGACTAATTGAAGTCGCATTATGCGAGTTATTGCTATATTGCATATTAGTCCACTATCCAAATAAAGCAAACTTGTTTTTTTTAAACTTTGTAACTCAATATGTAACTTTCAATTTATTCGTAATTAGCAAATGCTTTTATAAAATAGCATGTTTATTTTATTGCCTTAGGATACATTAACAATTTTATTACAAATTAAAATTGTAAACGATTATAATACTCATCAAATTGTATATAATATGAGAAAAGAAAAGAAGAATTAAAAAAAATTATTTAACAATTTTATAATTTTTTTTTGAAAAATGTAATATAGAATATATCAGTCTTTATTATTACAAAATTACTAACTTATACCACTATGTTTCTCAGGGTTCATATAGTTTAGATGTTTAATGACATTTCATTGTTAAATGTTGTTATTGTTTATCGTTAATTTTAATATAAGTATCGTTGTTATTATAATATAATATCACATCAATGAATCTTTTAGATTAGAATATATATAACTTTATTACTTTAATACAAGAAAAGTGTGTATAGAGAAACCTTAATTAACGAGGATTTTTTTCTCGTATAGTCAAACATATTCAAAAATACACATATGTATACACAAGTTTTAAAAATGATTTTGCAGGCGCGCAATCCAGGACTTCTCTTCTCATCGTCAGTCGTTATGCGAAACGTTGCTCGTTTTTCTTACAATTCATTTTGCTCGTTAAGCAAAATGCTCGTTAAGCAAAATGCTCATTATGGGAGGTGCTCGTTAAGCGAGATTCCACTGTACTTTCTTCTTAAGCAATGATCCTTGTGTTTCTAAAAAATCTTATTATATGTAGCAACAGACTAATTAGGCAGAACTAATTATGCCATCCCAAAAATTTTCTTTGAGAAAGAAATAATTATGTCCTGATTACTTAATTGTTCTTTTTTCTGTGTCTCAAGATTGAGCAAGTAACCTTAAAATTAAGATTACCCATAAACAATGGACATTTCTAAATATTTCATAACCGTATATATATCACTAAACTCATGGCACATCATTTTACAGAAAATAAATAATACAGCACAGATTATTTTTTTTAATAAAACAATGAAAAAAAAAACATTAATTTTAATTATTTGATATAAAACATTATTCAAAATAAGAATTTTTGTTTTCACTTATTTACGCATTTACATGTAATAGATTATTAATGGTTGTTTTAGTTTATATGTCCAATTAATCATAAGTTAAATATACAAATTAAATGTTGCATATTTACCAACTAAGACATTAATTTACATTTTCCTGTTTTTTGTTTCATATTTTATTTAAACCGAGAGATATACAAGGAATCTTATATATATAAAGTTTTAAATCAAATCTCAATTTCTAACTTAAATAAAAACCAAAATGTTAATGATAGGCAAAAAGTTCATGGTCTATAATATTTCAAAACAATAATTAAAAAAAAGCAAAAATGACAAATTATTTATTTACATATCAATTGACTTTGTCTTGTTATTATTATTTATCGACAAATTATGCAAATTTACAGTATATAGTGCAGAAATACCTATAGTCAATAGCCCTTTACAACAGTTTAATTTAGTTTTATTTTTGTTTCAATTGCTGCAAAAGGATTGAAAATGTATTATTCATATATAAATATTTTTTGTTAAATATACATTTAAAGTTGTGTAATTTTTTAGTCTGTGAGAACAAAATGAACCAGCTAAAAAAATATTTTTCATTTTAAATAACTTTAAAAAAATACTGAATTGAAAACTATTTTCTAAAACTAAACTAACTCTTTCCTAAAGTTTTACATATATATTTTTGTATTCACTTAAACCGCATTTAAAAGCGCATTTAACTAAGCAGCATAAAGAAAAAAAAAGATAATTCATGTACAAAATGAGTGAAAAATTACTATAAATCAATACATTATTTATATTATTCTATAAAATAATGTTAAATTATAAACGTGATATATGAAATAACATTTGAAAATATATATACAAATTTAATTTTATTATAATAAATTATACCATATATAATTTATTGAATTTGAATTGCGTATTTTTAAATTAGCATCAATAATATAAATTAAAATTAATTTTATTATGAATAATAATTTGCTTTTCAAAGTGTGCGAAAAATAATTGTGGGGTTGCAGAAAACTTAATGACAGACAAGTCGGTATGTTTTTCTACCCAAACCCATTCTTCGGGGGCCCTATAATATTTTTAAGTGCAAAAAGGGCGAACGAAAAAGTTTGAGAACCACTGATATACAGTATTATGGGCTTATATCCGGACGGCGGTAACCCGGTTTTTGACTATGAGAATAACAGAAATTGCTGTCATAATCATAGTATTTAAGTATTTAAGAAAAATATTAAAATTTAAACTAGTTTAAATTATCATATAAGAACTTAGTTAAAAGCGAACAATATACTTCACTTATTTTTCAAGATACTTCTAATATCTTCATTTATATTAATTAATAATAAGAACAATTTTGAAATTAAATAGATAAATTAATGAAAAATTATATAAAAATTTCATATAGGACAAAAATTAGATTAATCAAATTTCTGATTTTTATAGAAAAAAAAAATGAATATGAAGATTATATCAAAGTTATAAATGTTGCAAAAATATATTTGTATAATATCTATAAAAAAAATTTAGAAATTGGAATTAATTTTTAATACAACAGATGCAAACCAATCAAATAAAACAAATTTATCAAATCTAAATTTGTATGTATTTGTATGATTTTTACATACATTATTTAAATTACTTTATAAAATAATGTAAAATCATGAACGTGATATATGGAAATGAAATAACACTTGAAAATATATATACAGATTTAATTCTATAATAAATTATATCATATATAATTTATTGAATTTGAATTGCGTATTTTTAAATTATTAAATTAGCATTAATAATGTGAATTAAACTGAATTTTATTATGAATAATATTAATTTGCATAATATACAATATTAAGGGCTTAAATCCGGACGGCGGTAACCCTGTTTTTGGCGATGAGAATAACAGAAAATGCTTTCACAATCATAAAAACCCCAATAAATCAGCATTAAATTAGGTTACTCACCATTGTATATGAACTTATATCTGTCGTCGTCTTTAGGGATTATCGTTGTATGTGATAAATATATTTTTCACGTTTCTCGCGTTTTCGATGCAAATAACTGCGAGGTGGATAACTGCACTAATTGAACGTTTGATTATGCAGCCGAACAAAGT